GTTTCAATAACTAGAGGAGAAGTTGGTGGCTCAAGGACTGATTTTTGTTTCTCTTCGTTGTCAGTTTTGATTTGCACAAGTTTATCCTTTTCTGACCTTATGGTTGTTTCAGTAAATACAGAAGAAACTGATGTCTCCACAACTGATCTCTGTATATCTTTTTGTCCAGCTTTTTGAGTTTCCTCCTGTTTAACTTCAGTCTGTAAAACTCTAACTCTTTCCTTTATGGTCCCTAACGGGGTTTCAGTAACTAGAGGAAAAACTGGAGGTTCCACAACTGGATATGTTTCAGTTGTGGATGTGTTTGCCATTTTCTGTTCAATATTTTGTGTTTCCTGTTCAATTTTAGTCTGCAAAGCTGTAACCCTTTCTCTTATAGACACTACAAGTGGTGGAGAGAGGGGAGGCTCAACATGGGATCTTTGCATCTCTTTCTGATCAAATTTTTGTGTCTGTTCCTGTTCAGCTTTGGTTTGTAAAAGTCCAACTCTTTCTTTTACAGATCCTATAGGTGTTTCAGTATCTCGAGGAGAAATTGGAGGTTCACTGACTGAGGAGGCTGCAAGGCCGCTCTCAGTGAGAACACCATCACCATCTAAAGACTCCTCAGAACTCACTCTTTCTAGCTCTCCCTCAGAGCTGCTACACCGAGAGAGCTCTCTATCTCTAAGTTTCTTCCTGATAGGTTTTTTGATATTTGGGGGGCGTTTGCTCTCACTTGACGTAGTAGCCTGCTCAGATCTATTTTGATCAAGATCCTCTTGAGAACAATATGTCACATCTAGTTGTTCTCCTGTGTTTATAGTAACTTTTAAGACCATAAGTCTAGTGCTATCCATTTCATCTTTTTGAAGTTTTCCAACCTCTTCAAGATAATTCTGAACTTTTTCCCCGACAGCTAATGCTTGTTCCTCCAACCCTCCTGCTCTAGCTTTCTCCTCATAAAGCTCTGGTGGAAATGCTGCAGAGGTTCTGATGTCTGACATGTCTGACAGGAGATCCGGACTTGCAAGTGTTGCGAGGTCAAGTGGTTGGTTAGTTCTCATGAAGAATGTCTCAGTTGACTCAGATTCATCATCTTCATTTAAAAAAGGTTTTGTAACCAAAAAGGGTAAATAACATAAGGGACAAATGAAGTGGGAAAGAGAGACACCAGAAAAGGTTCAGCAAGACAATGCCATCAAAATTCCTTGTTTAGTTCACAATGTAAGAAGTTGAAAGTTGATAGGGGAAAGAAAAAGAAAGTCTCAAAAAGAAGGCCAAAAAGAAGATAAAGTCGTCCGGAAAGATTGAAAGGGAGCAGAGCAGCTAGAGCGTAAGCAAAGCCAAGAGAAGTAACAAAAGGTAGGTGTAAGGTGGACGGGAAAAGTTATTTGCAGTCTGATGCGAAACACGTATTGTACAGAATCAAACAGAATAACTTACAAACAGAATAGAAACTGAAAAGAAACACAAACCTTCATAAGAGGGCCACAAATTTAATTTTTACTACAAAGAAAATAAATTTCTAGAAAGAAGCAAGGCACACAGAGCACTAGGCTGAAAACTGTTACAATATTTTTCAATTTCACAATTTATAGTATTTGTAAGCAACACTAGGTGCAAACTCAATTAAATAAGACACCATGGAATATTATATTTAGTTTAAAAGTAGTGTTGAATTGTTTTAAAGGAACAGTTCAAACATTTTGAAGTTGTGTGCAGTTCAAAGGTTATGATCTTGCAACTTCAAACAGCTTCAGTTTGGAGGAACAGAGCCTAGTTCTGACCAAACTATTTAGTCTAAATGCAGCCAAGACCAAAGAGGATCACTGCTGTCTTCAAACAGTCCCAATCTCAAAACTTATATAGCAGTTTACAGTAGGTTTCTTTCTGCTGCAAGAAAGAGCTGGAAAGCTGGAGTTGTTTTAAGAAAGCTACATCTGCTTTGGACGTGACTCTGTGCTGACTAGCCTTTACTAGCTCATCAGTAGGGTCAGATATGATCCAGATGGTATACTTTAGCTTCAGCCCGGCTAACACTGTTAGCTCATCAGTTCTGTCAGACTTTAACCCCATTTCTCCAAACTGAGGTTGTTCATACAGCTATCAACAGGTAAGATATTCACTCTTAATAACCTTTTCATAGAACTCCATTTCATAATTTTTAAACTATTCCTTTATGTTTGCAGATTTGTGTAAGCCCAAAACTGTTTTTAGGTTAGAATTTGCTAGTAATATAATTTTTACTTTATTAACATTTGATTTGCTTTTAATTTATTTATAGAATGGAATAAATCATGTGAAATAATGAAAACGTAACATAAATCACAAGTTAGAGTGGAAATAAAATTAAAGAAAAAGTCTGAACTTTATGCTTAATGTTTTTTTTATTTTTATGTATGACATCAGTAAGGATAATGTGGTGATAAATGACAACATATAATAAAGAACAAACAATGTTTTGTTTGTCAACTACAACCCCTAAGTTATAAATATTAGAAATGAAGTTATGGCTACAGAAGATGATTGCTACTGGTTTTGGACCAGCCAGCCTGCAGTCCTCCATAGGAAATTATAAAAATAATAGGATAAAGTAACAGCTGTCAAGATGTTTTCTTATAGATTACAAAGTTTGGATATACACTGACAAATGCAGTGTAGTCAAAAGAACATAAGCTAAGCTTTATTTTATTTAGTTTTCCTCTTTTCATGCTGTCCCAATGTTTTCTTATTTAAAGGTTGTATTTCTGTGCAGAACAAAAATCGTTATAAAGCATGCCACATGCAAAACTATAAAAAAAAAAGTAAACTGAGGGGAAAAGAGGTCCAAATAAATTCTTTTAAAAATCCTTACCACAAATCAATTTTTAAGTTAAGAAAAACATTCCATAGAAATGAACGCCATGACTAGTCGGTTACATTAAAGTGAAATTTTAAAAGAATTAATTTGACCATAGATTATGATTAGTTGTGAAAATGAAGAATATTAACTGCAAGAAGGAGGAGGTGAGTGGAGTCGGGAGTGAGGGGAACACAGCCATAGCATAGCTGCCATCAACCAACGTGTTAACCGTGTTAGTAGAGCAAAATAAGAGCGCAGGCTTCTTTTAAATGAATCTATCTTATTTCAACAAACTCAATAATTATTTCAGTCCAGTCTTGTGTCCAGACTTTTACAGACTGCTATATAAAAATAAGTAAAACTGTCTGTAAGAGAAAATACTAATGCATAAAATTTTTTAAATATTTATTTTGTAAGTATATTTAGTAAAATGAGCATGATTACTTTCAAATGCTCATACGTTGAGGATAAAATAGTAAAAACTTACATTTCTTGTCAGTCCTTTCACTCTGTAAAACAGAATCAGACACATTTAGAACCAAACTGTGATATATTTCAGTGCACAACTATTTAAAGCTCTTATACCTCGTCGTCTCCTTCTTGGTCCGAGTCAGACTCCTGAGGAGAAGAGAAACACAGCGTGGCACAGTTGGAGTCAGTGTTTTAAAGCAAATCAAGATTTCTATTCAGAGATTGAGACTCACCTTTGAGTACGCTGGCAGAGTGATGTTAAGGTTGCAGATTGCGTTGTGATTGAGACTTCGATACGTGCGCGGTTCCTTAGTGAAAGACAAGCGGCCGCATGGCTCCTGTGCCGTATCTCTGATCTGTTCATCAATTTAGCTTGTTAGCATGCATTATGAAAAACAAGTCTGAGAAATGTTCGTTCATAGTACAGCCATACTTTAATAAAGAGAGCCAGTCTGTTCTCTTTGAAGGCAAAGAAACTGAACACGTGGTGCTGTCCACTCTTGGTAAGAGGTACCAGGTTTCCAAAGCAGTCTGCATATATGGGCTTTCCCTCCAGGACCTGTGTGTGTGCACACGACAGTTTGGTAAATGTCCATTGGAATCACTAAACTAAAAGCATATCAGCTTGAGCACATTTATTCACCCACTTCGCTGACATATCTTTATTTCTATTACCATTTCTTTAAGAGGATAATTTACTTCTAACATTCATTATGTGAGTAAACGTCTTCTCAGACTGGCCCGTTTCTTTTGCACCTCAATGTCTCTGCTGCGGGCAACTTCCGTGAAGTTCTCCTGCTGCTCCAATGTTTTGTCCATCTTGTCATCTGTCATGCAGAAGCAGCGCAGCCGGGCCTCAATGGGGTCCAGCGTCTTGGCGAAAATGACAAACTTAGCCATGTATGGGACACAGATGATTTCTCTGTACAGCTGAGAAGCAAAATTAACCGACTCCTGGACCTGTCTGCAGTCTATCAGCCAGAACCTACAGACAAAATTCACATGTGGACTTAGTAACTCACATGTTCAGAGTATAACACTGATCTGTTTTTAAGGATAAGATGCCTGCTTTTAGATTTTCAAAGGAAATCGATTCACCTTGCTGACACGTTTGTGGTGAAGGAAACACATTGGTTCACAAAAGTGAGAGGTGTGGAACCAGTGATGTCCTCCCATTGGGCAGGAGTGGTTCCACCTGAAATGCAGAACAGTGGCTTATTACCAAACATGTGATGCTCAACCAGTCATGTTTATGTAATTTACACAAGGGAAATATGTAGCATGGTTTCCAAACATACATTAATGCATTTAAACCAAGAAATACACCCAGAACTAAAACAAGAATGGCACATTCCATTACTTAAGTCAGTTTATTGCTATACAGATTTTCATTGATCGACCAGAGTCGAGATAATTAGATAAATTAAAACAAATAGAATGGGCAGATTAAAATGGTATTTATTCCATTACTGTTTGCTGAAACCTTACTGAATATTTACCACCATACATACCAGTAATACTGCAAAGCAGCCGTAAAGTGGGGGTCTCTCCACTGAACACGGCGCTGGGCTCGTCAGTGTTGGAGGTCTTGGGAATTGGGATTGTCATGGTGATTGGTTTATGAAACTTCCTCCTTCTCGGCTCTAAAGTGACGATCGGGCTAAAAATGGCTTTGTTACCAAGAACCTTCCTCACCAAATCAACATCGGTGGGCTGAGCCTAAAACCAGATACAAAATGTGTAAATACTGGTTTGAAGCCATTATTATGAACATTGGTTTGGTTTAGTGCTGGGTCACTGTTGATCTCTTTTGGCTACACCAACAATCAGAAATACTGATGCATGTCCTAGTAAGCTGAGTCATGGGACATTAGCGTGTACCTGTAGCCCAACTCGGATCTTCTTGGTAAGTGCACCTTCAGGGAAGACGGCTTGGACCTGGGGCACAAGAATACTGCTGAGGACACCGCCCTCTGGACCAATCAGATGACTATCCTGCTTTATCCTCGAGACCACAGCAAAATATTGGGGGAATTCTCTGGTGATGATGCGACAGATTCTTTTCTTCTCAAGCTCTTCAGGTGAATCGAGTTCTGTGCAAAATTAAAGGCAAACAAAGGACATGGGAATAATCAGTGCTTTACAGCCTTATCCATCCATCCATCCATCCATCCATCCATCCATCATCTTCCGCTTGTTCCGAAGTCGGGTTGGGGGGCAGCAGCTTGAGCAGGGAGGTCCTGGCATCTCTTTCCACAGCCACCTCTTCCAGCTCTTCTGGGAGGACTCCAAGGTATTCCCAGGGCAACCAAGAGGAAGTCTCTCCAGCGTGTCCTGGGTTTTCCCTGGGGTGTCCTCCCAGTAGGACATGCCCGAAGCACCTCCGAGGCACCCAGGGAGCATCCTTACTAGCCTCTTCAAGGAGGTGCCTCAAATATTCTAGCAACTTCACAAATAAAAATCAACCCTGTTCAGCTTTGCTAATGTGCTGCACGTGTGACATGAAATCCATACATTGATCACTGATTGGTAGATCCTTACTTTCATCCATGCCATTGAGTATCTGGTTCAGCTCCTCCTCAGTGAAGTCACAATGATGTTCCTTCCAGCTCTCTCCGGTTTCACTTCGTAAGATAACAAGCTCTCTTTCTGTGCCCCGCAGAGCCGCAAAGTGGGGAATCTCCACAATCACGGGTCTAAGAAGAATTACAAAATAAAATTAAATGGAAACAAATTAGAATGAGCTGTGTTTGAGTTGGCTTCAAATGTAAACACAGGTAATATGACGTATGAAAAACTATACAAGATAAAGTATATTTACAATTCAAATACGAGCATTTCATGCAAAGTGCAAAAAACAGCCATAAATAAATATAGGACATCCATTTCACATGAGACGAGCAAAATTCAAGTAAAAACAGGAGTGGGGATTTGTGCTGGAAAATAAAATAAACTGATCAATAAAGGGAAAAAAGTCAGGACATTTTTCAAGAGAAAATAAAAAAATAGAAATATAAAAGGAAGACAACGAGAACTAAAACGAAGTATTTCAAGCATTAGAGCTTATGAGTGTGACCAGGATTCCAAGATGGCAGGGAGCCCCCTCCTATGATCCTACCCGAGGAACTTTGTTCCTGGAGGACCCAGCTGCAGGATGCGACTGACCAGGCTCTCGCCCTCATTCAGGGGAGGGGGAGCTGTTGGAAGGTGCAGCTTACTGATCCCAAACGCAGCACAGAGGGGGAGCGGAAAAGACAGTTTGAACACGGCACGCAACTGAGCAAACACACACACAAACTCCAACCCAGTCCGTACACACACACTGAAACATCATGTACCCCAAGAACTGAGCTCCTGTGGGCCCCACTTCTATGATGCGACCAGCAAGCCCCTCCCCCTCCACCATGGGTGGCATCGAGGCCAAACGGTGTCTCTTCACCAGCCTGCAGGTGACCCGTGTGGGTGCAGAGCACTTCCTTGGGGGTACAATGATCCTCAGGCCGTTGTGACGACAACCGCGCATCGCTCCGCCTCTGGCGTCCACCATGAAGCTGACCAGGAAGCTGAAGAGAAAAACACACACAAATACTATAAACACAACATTCTGACAGCTGCTTAGTTTGTCTGTGATCCCCCATGCAAACAAGTTAAATAGAGCAAAATAATAAATTTAATTTAAAAAATACAGCGCTGCTTTTATGACACATGAAAAAACATTGACAACAAATGGAACAACAAAGATTTATGCCTCTTGTTTCAACAATTTGGAAATTTAACATTTTTTAAATTTAATTTTGTGAGTCTTGTGGGAATAAGTAGCATGTACTCAATAAAAGGTTCAAGGATAAAGAACTCACATCTATACTAAAGGTTAAAAAGTTTTTAAAACTGAGTTTTGAGTCTGAACTAACGTAAATCAATAATAAAGTCATGCGTTTGCGAACCATGCAGAGAAACAGGATGAGAAGATATTAAATAAAATAAAGAGTATCACCTGCTGTTGTCCTGATCTAGGCATGGAGAGGAACGGCTAGAAGCAGAACACAACAGCAACGCACACACGAACACAAAACCAAGAGAAGACGACCCAAAAGAAGCAACAAGAGAGCAAACACACAGAGAGAAAGGAAGAATAAAAGAATGAGTAAAAGTGAGAAAAAATCCGACTGGATACAAGAATACACAACAGCAAACAACAAACAAACAAGCGGTACGCTGATGTCCCCCGTCGCTGAGGGATTTGAGTAGTGAATGTTTGTAGTTTTAGAGATGAGTGTTTTTCTGGACTGGAATTGAACACTGTAAGTAAACCTTAATGTTTTTGGTGAAAGCTGCTCAAGCTGGTAGGAGTTACAGTGTGGAGAAGAAAAGAGGAAGGATTTATTTATTTATTCATTTTTGCTTGTCTGTGGCAGCACTGAGTGCCAGCTCGATGGGAGGGAGCAATACCGATACTTGGAGGGGCGGGCTAATGCCGATAACCGATACTGGCTGAAAGATTTTGAGCTTTGTCCAACCCCAAGAATCTAAGTAGACAGCTACGTATAAATCTGTTTTAACACTTGAAGTCTTGAAACAGTCTTCCTAACGTGCATTCACATTTTCTATCCTCCACTTCATAAAAGTTATCAAGTGTGTTGCAAAAATATACATTAAACAAAAAAACTCCCTTCTCTGTTCATTGTTTAAACAGTCACGTATGGTGAAGGTCTAATTAGTGTTGACGGCAGCAGCTTTTTTTTTCTTTGCAGAGAATAAAGATTTCAGACAAACAATGCATTTCACTGAGGACGACAAAGATCATGTTATGACACTGATAGTTTACCTCTACGTTAGATTTATTGTTCAGGATAAGGTTTTACAAGGCAATAGCCTATGCTAAGCTATATAAACGTTAGCTTGCTAACTTGAGAGGCACGTAGCAAGTTCGAGGATAAAAGAGAATTTATTATTGTTGATTTATTTGACACATCAGTTACAATAAACTTACCATGCTCTGTTCAGTAAAATATGCTACACAGTATTTAGTCGCTTTCTACTTCGAATGTGCTGTGAGTCAAGTGTGCAGCATGGCTAAGACTTGAAAATAGTTCACATGCACCCTCTGCTGGATATATTGTACAATTGCACCATTTGCAAGTAAGGACACGGCTGGTCCCAGCATTTTAGGGGTGAAAATAGAAGTGTTTGTAGAGGCACATAATGGGACAATTATCACAGATATGTCCCCAACTGCCTATAGTGACATAAAATATCAGCCTTACCGATATATTGGTCAGGCTCTTATATATAATTTTATTTGGTGACTGTCTTGGCTTTTGACTTGGGAACCTAATTTTTGATAGTGATCTTTTGTACATCTAGACGTAGCCTCACACCAAGTGGAAGTCGATACCCCACTTGTTTCTATATTATCATGCTCACAACACAGACGGACAGACAGAAGTTATTTCCAACTCCCTCTCTTCACTCTGCGACGGGGGACAAAAAAAAGAATGCTGGAAACAAAGATTTCATAGTGATTTTTTACAAATAACTGGAAACCAAAGCAAAGTAAAGATGGAGTACTTATTATGAGAGAGAATGAGTATTCTGAAGGCCCAGATTTACTAGCACAAGCAGTGCTCCACATTTCTTGTTCCAAAAATAAATTTTGCATTTGTGGTGCACTTGGTAATAGCAAATAAATGTAGAAAGTCAGCTGAGATAAAGTCATAAAAATAATTTGGTTTTAGATTATTTTTATGATGATTCATATAAACAAGTCTTCAAACTTTGCAGCCACTTGAGAGATTTTTATACACAACGCCAAAATAATTTAATACGTTCAGTTTATTCACTCCGTCATCATGGGGTGTTCTTAAAAGTGAATATGAAGATTCAGTTGCTTCATATTGAAAAGTGATCCTACACTAATGGTTATACTCAGTCACAGTTTTCAGTTTCAACCAGCTCTCTGACATGTTGCTGCCACATGGATAAAGCAGAACAACACATGCTCACTACATGTACAACTCCACACATGATCAGCAGAACTGGACAGAAGCTAAAGTTGATTTTTGCAAAGTCTGCAGGGTTTTTAGGCTGTGGGGGGGGGGGGGGTTAAATAAGGCTTAGTTTGAAGTTTAACATTCAAGCACCTTTGTGCATTTTAAAATAATGTTTTCAAAGTAGAGAAACGTTTCCCTTCATGTTTAATCTGTGTTTGAAATATGTTGCAGCCTGAACTTAAAGAGCTCAGAACAAACATAACCTGCTTTATAATTCGATTTTACAAAACTATATCTTATTAGGTATTTAGGTCCACTTCAGCACATTTAATCAGTATAAATGTGTGTGTGTGAATGTGTGTGTTGATATACCCAGAGTGCAGCAGAGTAGAGGACAGCACAACATTATCAAGATGTTCAGCACCCCAGCTCAGCCGGAAATTCTCCTTGTCGTGCTCTCGAGACAATGCTGACACCTAAAGGTGCACGAATGACAGCAGATCAGTTGGAGAAAGAAAGACGAGAACCGCATACAGCCTATAATACGCCTGCCAACTAAGACCTTGTTTTAACTTTGACTTGAAACCTTGACTTTGGAGCTGGAGTGATGAGAAGTGTATGCGACACTCAGTCTAGTGATGATACATACGTGTATCAAGTTTCATTAAATTATTCTGAGAAGATCAGAAGTGATGGGAGGGAAAAAGTTTACAGACGGAGCCCATACCATATTCTGTCTGCCTTTCGACGGGCACATATAAAAGCCTAAGGGAAGTGAATTTTCAGGTGTTTTCTCACCTGGTGGCTGGTCAGTATGTCTTCAATGAGAACCCCGTCTCTCTGGTGAAAACTTTGGTGAACAGGCGTTTGCTGGGGCCTGTTAGAAAACCACATGTTTAGACTGTTTAATCAGTTTGCATTTACCTGACGACAGGCTGAGCAACGACAAGGACAAATGAAGTTTTAACATTTGCTGTCTTTAATGGAATTAAATGTTCAGTTACTCATCGCCAGAAGAATGTATGAATAGCTTCTGACCTGTCCAGGTTGTGGCTCATGAAGCTGAAGCCGTCCAGGTAATGTCCCGGCAGAGAGTCGTCTCCCAGCTCTCGGAGGTCCTCCGCTCTCAGGTACTCTCCTCCATCACCTGTCATGGTGTCCTCACCTGGAAAACAGACATCTGTGCTATCATTCAAAAAATCTTATGAGAAATTAAACGTTTTATGTTTAATCGTGGAGCTTCAGAGAACTTGTAGAAGATGATAATTTGCACTGAGAATACTTCTGAATATCGATATGAAACAATAATTACTGTAAATGGAAACACACAGGCCCAGTCTTTAAAGCAAAAGATCAAATCTGTGATGCGGGGTTCTGTGGAAAGGGTATAAACAAGTAATATCCTATCTGTTGTAGATAGCTCTTTGAACAACCTCAGGGTGGAGAAAAATAATTTAATTCTGGTCAGACTGATGAGCTACAGGCTAGTCTGAGCACTTTGTGAATTTTATTCTGGGTTATGAAGTTGATATTTTATAGACCTTCACATAACTGTCAATTTTACATTATGTGGTGATTTACATGAAAAAATATTTAGGCTTCTCCCCTCTTCAGGGGTTGCAAACTCACACGGCAATTTGGCAATTGTTTGACGCCGGGTGCCCCTCCTGACCCAACCACAGACCACCGAGTCACCACAACCCTCTGTGTGCTTGTGACAGCTAATATGTTTGTTTATTGCTGCTGCACTATGTAGGCTGTATCTAGGCTGTATTATGTATGATACAGTATCAATGTATCTACCTTACCATCATAATTCAATCTCAGTGTCACTACTTGTGCAATAACCTGTCACACAATCTGTGTAGTATATGTTAATTATGTGCAAGGCATATATATGT